CCCCCCCTTCCTCGTCCTCAGCACACACAGCTGCCCACCCCCAGCCTCTTGCACGCTCTGTTGCACGCCTGCTCGCCTCTCCCTGCCCTCCCTTCCCTGGGCTGCAATTTTGCACAAATCTGACCCTCGCTGTCTTGCACACTCGCCTTTGCATCTGGCTTGCGAGGCCCGCTCAGACACCCCCCGTGTTCGGCCACACACCTGTGCACACCTTTCCCTGGGCCCTCCTTTACACGCCTCCAGACCCCTCCTGCTCTCTCTGGACCCTTGCTGCAGACACACTTGGGACACGCTCTCCTCCCCCAGCCCGACTGCCCACACCTGTGCTCTGGAGGGCCCTCCGCTCCCCTTCCTGACAGTCACCTCTGCTCCTGCGTTGCCGCCTCCCTTCGTGTTCTCCAGCCCAGCCAGCTCTGCCCATCTCTCCGCTCAGTGACACTCCTGCCCCCTTGCACTGTCACTTTTTGTCACGCCTCTTGCACACTTGCCTCCGGGAATTGTGTTTCTCTCACAAATGCTCATCCCTTTCTTCTTTGCCAAGCCCCCAACCCCTTGCACCCTTCTTTCCACACCTTGGCCCAAATCGGCCCCTAGTGAACCCCCCTTGCACACTCACTCTTGCCCACGTGCCCTCTCACTGCTCTCTGGAAGTCCCTCTCGCTAATGTTCTCGCACACTGTAGCTTTGGCACACTACACTCCCGCCCGCCACCTCCCCTGGAGAACACAGCGCCTCTCCCTGTGCACACTCCCCTCACCCCACCTGCTCTCTGCTGTGCTGGCCCCTCTTCCTGCCGTCCTCGTCTTAAGCCCCTCGTCAGGGAGCAGTGGCCATTCTCACCCCACTCTGTCCCTTCGCACTTTTCCTGGCGGAGACTCTGTGCCCTCTGCTGGGCCGCCAAGCTCGCCCTAGCTCCTCTCCCGCCTCGGGCCCCGCCTCCCGCACATCCTTCCTCCTCTCTTCCCCATCTTCCCCCTGCCATCTGTCCACCCATTTTGCACGAAGACCCCCCACTCCTAACCTTCCCTTTTCTCCCAGAAACCCCCTCTCCCTCCAGCATGGCTGTTCTTCCCTGCACGCTTCCCCTCCCCCCTTATTCCTGGGGCTTGGGAATTTTACGCCACTCCTCCGCCTGGAAAACCTCTTCCCCTGCTGTGGGTAAAAGGGGGAGGGCATAGCCCTCAGGTCCCCCCATGTTCAGCTGCCAAAGAAGGGAGTTCCCCCTCCTAACCCCAAGCCCATTCCCCCTCTGCTGCCCCCTACCCCCCACAGGGGGGGGCGCTCGTCCATGAGGGGAGGGGCTAGCTCCCTCCCCTCACCATGTCAGGGATCTTCGGGAAACCTTGTGGGAGGGTCGTGGGAGGGGGGAGGGGTGGCGAGGAAGGGGCAGAGGTCATGCTGGGCCCCTCCCCGCCCCCTCCCCCTGGTCGGATGCCCCCAGTCCTCAGGGGGCCTACGCGGCACCTGTCTATCAAGGGCTTGTTCATTCCGGACAG